TTCTTGACACATTAAGCTAAATTTAATCACTTTTCTAAAATAAGGGGATGCACTTGACCTCTATGGGGGCTTAATGCATCCGGCACTGATTGACATGCCGTGAGATGGAGTGATTATATGTTATGATTCTAATATATTGTGGTGTACCAGAGTGTACACTAGTATATATATATTCTGTTCTGAATGCACTTTATGTGCATATGGTGATTTCTGATTTGATAGCACTGTGTGTGCTTATCTGTTCTGATTCTGATGATATGAGATATGTATTGCGTACACTCGTCTGACTTACGTATCTTATATTCTCTTAAATATATTTTGGGCTATAAAAAGAAATATGAAAGTTCTGAAAAGTATCTGACTATAAAGGAATGTTGACTGATCATTCTGTCTGATCTGATTTATTATGATTTTGTGAAAAGTCATCAGATAATTCTTTTCAGGTTTCTGATAAAGTTCAGCATGAGATATCCGGTTTGAACATTCTGAAAATTCAGTATGTTTTATTTTTAATGATTTTATATATTTCTATATTTTATTTATTTGTTATCACCTTTAGTATTACTACCTCACTAAGTTATACTTAGCGCGTGATGATTTTCATGTGTAGGTTCCGATTGAGACTCGGACGTTTAGTGAGGAGCCTCCCAAGCATCGTGTACAAATCACCTGTAATATCAATATCAGTAAGACATCATCGATGTTTCTTTTGACTAGTAGTGACATGTATATTTATGTTATTAACCTGTTTTATCAATTATGACTAAATGATCTGTAATAGTAAATTATGATTGTTTAATTTGACTAGTTTAGTTTATTGGTATTTTGGTATGCTTGAATATATATATATATAGTAGTTAAAGTATTATGTTTTTAAATGGTACAAAATTTTATGTAGAAAATAAAAATAAAAAAAATATTTTAAAAGTTGAAATTATAAATGTTTTAAAAGAAATAAAATTTTAAGCAAACGTGAATAGTGACAATTAGTCAGTTTGATGTGACATTTATAGCTAGTATTCTTAGATATTTACGGGTTATGGGTATTACAGTGTACACCACCGTTGGCCGGAGGTACGATGAACGACGATGGACAATATTGCCAAACTCTAAATTTTGGGGATTTTTTTACCGCAGACAAGGGATAGGACAATTCATGGTTGGGTCACTAAACTTCCAAGAGTATTGAAAGTTGCTATAAATTTTCATAAGCTTTACGAATTGATCCTTGAAAGTTTATTTAAAATAATATATTTGTGGGTGTGACATTATAGGCGTAGCTGATGTCTGCTCAAACATCTAAGTAGAACAATATTCCTTTTTTATCACTAAGGTCGCTCAATGGGATCAAACTCTATATAAACTAAAAAAAATTAAAAACAAATGAATCTGTCTAAAATTGCCTCCTTCAAGTAAATTTTAGATTTTTTTTTTCATAAATAACCTATTCTAACTTATAATTTAAAAAAAAAACTTATATAATCTAAAGTCCTTTAAAAACAAGACTTACTAAAATATGAACGAAGTATAAACGAATACAAAGAATAAGAGAAAGGGTACTTAATTCTGTATTTTTTTTCTAAGAAGCCTTTAGGACTTTTGTTTGGAGTATTTTATGCTCTTGTGACTTTTTAATATGTTGTCGAGGATCGTTTTGTTTGGTAAATTTTTTTCTATTATTTTATATTGATATATTCTTATTAATCAATGTCGTGATTTTAAATTTAATGATTTTAATAAAATAACGATCGATTTCTTCGAACAATCCATGCAACTACTACTTCTATTGCTTTCAATCTTGTATAAAAATATTTATCTTCTTTGATATTTCATTGGTAGTCATAATTATCTCTCTTCTAAAAAGAAATACATTTTCTATTAAAAATTTGATGACATCAAATCCTTGAAACAAATATTTTAAAAAAATTATATAATAAAACAATCAACAAAAATGAATTCACCCTCATTTGATAAATAAAATAAATTACCTAAACTTTTACATCTAAGATTTTTTTTGCCCTCTCAGTTCCAATGCTTCGTCTTGACTAATTCAGATTGACCTGCGTTACACACCTGACTTTGGTGGGTGAATCTCCCAGCTAGGGTTGTAAAATCGGGTAATCGTTCAGGTTTCAGTCGGATCCTGGCAGGTCGGGTAAAATCGGATACATGTCAAGTCAGGTAAATTTGACACCAGATCCATATCGGGTTCAGGTCAAATCAGTTCGGGTTATTTTCAGGTTGATTTGACACCAGATCCAGATCGGGTTCAGGTCAGGTCATTTTCAGTTCGGATCATTGCCGGTTCAGGTCTGAATCAGTTAAAAAGCTGGTTAATTCAGGTTCGGATAGACTTCAGGCGGATCTCGTTCAGATCGGGTCACATCATTGGCATATAAAATTCAGGTCGAATCTCTATCAGATACGGATTGAGTTTAAATCGAGTTAATTTTTATTTTTGGATTAATTATTTTCGTCTTTCGTGAACTTTGAATTGCAATTTGTAATTGTATATGATTTAGAGTAAATTACTAAGAATATAAATAATCATGGTTCAACTTTATGAAAAATACAAATTTAAGAATTAAATTGAACAAATATGAAATTGCAAATAAAAATTTAAATAAATTAAACAACACACATTGATGAGGGATCAAATCGAAATAATTTTAAATTGTGAGGTTGAAATTAATACAAAAAAATACTAAATTATACCCATTTAAAAAGTTATGGGCCAATTAAAAAAATAGAATTAAGTAAAAAGTATGGATCAATTTCATATGCAAATAAAATTTAGAGGACTAAATTGAACAAATATGAAATTACAAATAAAAATTTAAATTAATTAAACAACACATATTGATGAGGGATCAAATCGAAATAATTTTAAATTGTGATGTTGAAATTAATACAAAAAAGTACTAAATTATACCCATTTAAAAAGTTATGGGCCAATTTAAAAATAGAAATAAGTAATAAGTATGGGTTAATTTCATATGCAAATAAAATTTGGAGGACTAAATTGAACAAATATAAAATTACAAATAAAAATTTAAATAAACTAAACAACACAAAAGGGATCCGATCGAAATAATTTTAAATTTTGAGGTTGAAATTAATACAAAAGTGTACTAAATTATAATCATTTAAAATGTTATGGGCCAATTAATAAATAGAAATAAGTAATAAGTATGGGTCAATTTTAGATGCAAATAAAATGTGGAGGACTAGATTGAACAAATATGAAATTACAAATAAAAATTTAAATAAATTAAACAACACAAAAGGGATCAAATATGAAAAATATTGTAAAATTGACTAAATTGCATTCATTTTAAAAGTTGAGAAAAAAATTAAAACAACTAATATATATATATAAACTATATAGTTTATATATAAAGTATATGTATTATATATAAACTATATAGTTTATATATATATGTATAAACTATATATACCATGTAAAACTATAATACTATATAGTTATATATGAACTAATAAACTATATAGAACCTACATAGTTTATATATAATTATATTGAATTATATATAAACTATACAATTTATTTATATATTATGTATAATTATAAATAATATATATTGTATAAATTATATAGTTTATTAATATAAACTATATAGTTTATATATATGTATATAGTATATATGGTTTAGAGTTTAGGGTTAAGGTTTATAGTTTTGGGATTATGTATTAGAATTTGGGATTTAGGGTTATTTATATTTATATTCATATAAACTACATACTATAATTTATATTTATATTTATACTATATTCTATACTATTATATAAACTATAGTTATATTTATATACTATATTCTATACTATTTATAAACTATAGTTTATATTATATACTATATATATAAACTATAGTTTACATATGAATATATATAATAAAGTGATATTATATGAACTATAGTTTACATAAAACTATATAGTATTATACTAACATAGTTTACATATGAACTATAGTATGATAGTTTACATATGACCTATATATATACTATAGTTGATATTTATATTATATAGTTACATATGACCTATATATATACTATATTTATGTTACATACTATATTATATATATAAACTATATATACTATATAGTATAATTTACATATGAACTCTATATAAAATCATATAAACTATATACTATAGTTGATATTTATATACTATATAAATAATTTATACTATAGTATATAAAACTATATATATATAAACTATATATATAGTTCATTAGTATATAAACTATATATATATATAACTATATGGTATATATAAACTATACATTATATATATTTCATTAGTATATATAAACTATATATTATATAGTTCATTAGTATATATAAAGTATAAACTATATAGTATATGTAAACTATATTAGTGTACTTTATAGTTTATACTTTATAACCTATAGTATAAATTTATAAACTATAATTATATTAATGTACTATATAGTTTATATTAATGTTAATTATAGTTTATATTAATGTTAATTATAGTTTATATTAATGTTAATTATCTTAACTATAATTTATATTAATATAGTATATAATTTATAAACTATATTAATATTAATTATATTAACTATAGTTTATAAACTATACTATAATTTATAACATATAGTTTATATTTTATAACTTTATAGACTATATTTTATATTAATATTAATTACAAATTATAAATTATAAATTATATTATAGTAATATAAGTTAATTAATATAATTATAATATATAATATTTTAATATTAATTAAAATAGTTTATTAATATAAATTTTATAGGATAATACTGAAAACTGGCGCCAAAATTAACCATTTTCTCCCTTTTCCCGGCCAAACCCTCCCTTTTTTATTTTCAATCTCTCTTCTTCCCCGCTCAGCATCCAAAACCTCTCCCTTTTATTTCGTTTTCCCTCTTTCTCGGTCATGGCTCCGGATCTGGCTTTGGCTTTGACTCCTACTCCCGCGGCGCAGGACGTGGTGGAGTATGTCGAGACTGTTTTCTATAGCAGAAGGAGCGCGGCAGCTGAGGACGGGTTGTTTTCGGACTTCGAACAAGACGACGGTGGGGGGAGTCTGGAAAAGGTGGAACCCGCGCTTGACGCCGACACCGGAAAGGTTTTTCCAGCTCCTATCCCTATATCAGGTAATCAAATTCTCATACCACATACAACTTAGTAAGATAGCTAATTAAGGTAATCTAAATATGTTTTTGGGTTTTAGGAGTTGGATCTGATCAGAATGAAACAGAGGGCAAAGATGCCAAAGTCGGTGATACCAAAACTGAGGTCAAAGTTACTTTTCATCATCCGTATACAAGGGTTGGTGACGTTTTGAATCTTGTTCTTCTTCAATATTTTTGCTTCCTAAATTTTCAGTCTGATTTTCCTCCTTTGTTGTAGCAAAAATGATATGCATCCAAAAACTAGGAACATCTTGTACAGGTTGAGATTGAGGAAAGTTTTCAGTGGTCTATTTGTGAAGGCAACTGAGGGTGTGACGGAGATGCTGCAGAAGGTGGAGCCGTATGTCACATATGGTTATGGAGGCAACTTTTCTTTCTTTCAAGTTCCCCTTTTTCTTTTTCTCGGTAAATATCTAATTTTGTAAAAAATCATATAAATTTTAATGTGCTTCTCCATGCGTGTTGATGATTTTCTTCCTCTGGTATATTGCTTATTGTCGATTTATTAGTGTCTACTTTAATTGCCTTCAACTTCTTATAAGGCATGTGTAACTGTTGCTTATGCTTGACGAATTTGTCAAATTATCCTCCGTGAAACTTTCACTTTGCAGCATTTGCAAACAGCTCGTGATGAATATGATGAAGTTGCAAACAGTTTGTTTATGTTTAGAGGTCTTGTTTTAATTTTCCAGGAACCATCTTCAGTATTGAATAATTTATACCATTGTTGAGAGAGCGCATTAATGTCCTAAATCGTGAAATACGGTAGCAAGCTGATTCAGCACTTTCAGAGTTTCTCCAAGAGATTAAGAACTCTCCGGTAAGACATCCTCTGAGATTTTGTTCTTTAACTGTTGGATTGGCTCTATGGTTACTTTTCTTAAAGTTCCTTATGCCAAGATTGCCTATTTACACATATATGTGAGTAACATGATTGATAACTTATTTAGTAACGAAATTTATGGCTCATTGTGTATCATTTACCAAAATTTCTCATAAAGATCCTGAAAAGTTATTTTGGATTACTGTTGAATTCAAAGAAGAGATTATTCAGTATTCATCTTTTTGTTATGTTGACGTATTCATATTCTTATTTTCTATTGCATTTTTATTTGGTAAATTTGTCATTTTACCTTATTAGCTTGTTGGTTCATTAATTTTCCTGTGACAAGCAGAAAATAATGCTCTTTGTATGTTTTAGAACTAAACTTTATTCAAACAAAAATGGAGGGATTACTTTTTATTAGTTATACTTTGGCTAAATATTCTCCATCCTTAATCTCGAGTATGTTTCTAGTTGCTTCTCAATATCCTATGTGGTTCTTATTTGTTTAATCTTAATGTAGGCTTTATGTTTGAATTGTAAGGGTTTGGTAAAGTCGGAAATGTTTGGCATTGTTGGCCATTGAGTTCCCTTTGGCTTTACCGTTGATTGTATGTTTTCTTAATGCAGAAAGCTTGCTGAATCGATGCAATGATGCTTGTCGGTTGCTGTTGTCTATTACTCACTAATGCCTTGTAAATTATTGTTGTTGGTCTGACTTAAATCAATTTTTGAACCTTATAAATTCTTATCTAAATAGTTACTCATGTGGAATTATGTTGGTGGAATTTTGACTTTTAAAGCTATAAAGTTGCCCATAATTAAACATGTTGGCATCATTTCTTGTAGTATAGTTAGACTTTTAACCTTGTAAAACCTTAACTATAAGAACCTTAATTATAAGATCTGAGAGAATTTATTCCAATATAAATTTATTTTGTTTAGTTGATTTTATTGTAATTTTAGTGTTTGCAAGTGTAATAAAATTAACTTTATTTATAAATTTTTTGTTTTAGTATTTGTATTGTTATTCAAGTTTCAAATCTTTAATAAGTTAATAATTTCAACTAATATCTTTTTATTTTAAAATTTCAAGTTAAGTTATATTTAAATTATTAATCAATTTTCGCATTAAAAGTAAATTAGATTTATGAATATTTTTACTCAATATATATATAATTTAATAAAATCATGTTCAATAAGATAATATTTAAATTTAATTTAGTGATTATAAATAAAATTTATAATATAAGAATTATAAATAATATAAAGAATTTGAATTAATATAAAACTCAAATTTATAATATACAAATTATAATATAAGAATTATAAAAAATATAAAGAATTGTAATTAATATAAAAACTAAATTTAATTATCATAAGTTTATTATAAATTTAAAATAACATAATTATATTAATGGTAACTTATTACTTCTAACTCAGGATAATATCATATCACTTTAACGTGTCAGATAGTTTACAGGTTGAGTCAATTACAGGTCAGGTTTATAGCAGGTCAGGTTGAAAACAGGTCGGGTAATACCAGTTATTTACAAGGTCAATCTCGGGTTCGAGTTCATATCAGTCGGATGCAATTCGGGTTCGGGTATCATATTTTCGGTTCAATTCGGGTTCAGGTCGTTCTCAGGTCGGATGCATGTCGGGTTCAAATCCACAATTTCCAGGTCCAACTCGGGTTCAGGTCAACACCAGTTCCGACTCAAGTCGGTTTCGGATCGTCACAACGCAAGTCAAAAATAGTTTTAACTCGAGTCGGTTTCAGTCAGTTTTACAGGTTTGGTCAGTTTTTTACACCCCTAGTTGAGAATGCATACGTATCCATTGAATGTGTACCGATGCACACAACTCATAAATTACATTTTGAGCACTAAAATGTCTTATTTTCCCCCCAAATTCTACTTATTAATCCCTCCTTATACCTTAAAACTTATTTTATACATATGTAAACCTTCTTATAACACTATAACACTTCACCATCTCTCATAATTCACCATAATTCTTGAATCAAAGAATTTCATCAAATTTTCTATATGTTCTAAATTCAATTCTATCACCTCTAACTTCTTAATTAACCATTTGAAAAGTCAAATCCATCCTTAAAACTTCAAAAACCTTTCTATAACAAAAGTTCATTTCTAAACTCTTAATAGAAATTCATTTCTAATTCTCTTCTTTTGGTGTTTTAAGCTTACATAAGCTTTACTTAAGCTTATGTAACACCCAAATAATCAAAACCTACTTATAAATTCAAGAAATTAACAATTAAATTCAACTTACCTATAGATAAAGCCCACGTGAAGAAGAAAACAAGAAGAAGCCAGATAACTCTTCCCCTTCCCACGTGTTTCACTTTTATATAAGGGGAAAAATATCTTTAAAACAAAAATTACCATAATGCCCTTCTCCCCTTCCATAATTATAATTTAATCCAATACTGAAATACTCCTATTTGAATCCTTGAACTTTTCAATTTTTTTCTAAATTGATCTCCAAATTCCAAAAATTCTCATTTTAGTCACTAACTCGAATTTCGGGATGTTACATGTACTACTATTTAAATTTTGATCTATATTTTTAAAATATATTACATATTTTATCCGAGTTGATATTTAATGTTCAAACATATTACTAGATTGACAAAAAAGCAATACTCATTATTGTTGGTTTAAGGATTCAATTATAATATTTTTAAAGTTTATGAATCAATTTTAAATATGACATAGTTTAAAGATGTCTAGCGTAAGTGCCTCTTACTTCAAATATAATAAATTAAAAAAATCAAGAAATTTCATTATCTAGAACTCAAATAAGTTAATTAGCTCATAGAATCAGATAGCTTTTCTTGCCTAGCCACACTAACTAAAAGTACCAAAGAGTGAATAAAGCATCTTTTTCTTTCTCTCTGCTGTTTCAATAAACACTTGACCGATATTCCTGAGAGAATGAAGCCAGTAATTGGGTAAAAACACCAGGGTTAAATTTAATACACTAATAGTCTATAATTATACACATTTTATGTCAATTAAACAGTTTTCGATGATATATTATATTTTGATCCACTTAATTATATAACCTAATCAAATATGAATATGAGGAGATTAAACAAATTTTTATTTAATTGGAGTCTCAAATTAAACTTCATTTACATCTTGAAAAGAAGAAGCTTAATATAATTGATGAGTAGAATCTAGATTAGTTAGTGTTAAGATAAGGTAAAATCTAGATACCTTTACCTTACGAACGAAATAAAGCAACTTAAAAATAGAAAGAAAAACTTATGGTGGCATGGCAGTCACAGTCTAAAAGTAAAGTAAAGCAAAGCTTCAGCCTTCAGCTTTATCTTTATCTTTAGCTTTTGCTTGCTATTGTGGGTGGCTTTAACATGGATTAGCACTACGACTACTACTATTTTTTTTTGGTTGAGCTAAAGCACCGACTTTTCTTTTGTCTATTAAGATCAGTGGCAGTCTCTAATGAATCAACATACGTTAAATAATTAATTGATAAGATAAAGATTATGAAGCGGAGCGCCTCGGAGTTGGCCCTCGAGGAGTTCAACAGAAAGACCATGACATTGACCGTGTCAATGAATACGACCACCATCTCATCTGCCTCAGCCTCAGCCTCAGCTTCAGCTTCAGCCTTCCCTGATATTGGTGTTCATCCGGCCATCTCCCATCGTTTTAATTCTTTCCCCTTCTCTGAATTTTCTAGGGAAGCAACTGAGCCTGTAAAACATGTACCGTTATCACATAATCTTACCCCAAAGTTCGATTCCCAATCATCCTTCTGTGGTACTTTCCCCCTTATAATATATGCCATGTTTTACTACTCTATTGATGCATGCATTTGCTTTGCATTCTTGCTTATACTTATTCTTTACAACAAGTTGCTGATCCTTTTAATCATCAGCTAAGTTCCTTCTTTAAGTTTAGTAGTAATATTCATATTTTGATTTGAACTTTTCGGATGTACGTATTCAATTAGGAAACGAGTCATGGGGAAGTCCAGTACGTGAAGGGAATAATCCAAACGGTTGGGCGAATAAAATTAGAGCTACCGTTGCTTCCTCGGACCATGATCCATATGGTAATGACCATGAAGAAGAAGAAGTAGAAGAAGAAGAAGTAGAAGAAGAAGAAGAAGAAGAAGAAGAAGAAGAAGAAGAAGAAGAAGATGATGAAGAAGACACAGAAACTGATGCCGGTCAGCCCGAACAGATCTTAGACCCCTCTCATTTGAAACGACTCCGCAGGTATTATATACCTAAAAAAACATATATATATATATATATATATATACAGAGAGAGAGAGAGAGAGAGAGAGATTTATATGGTATTGGGAAAATCACTGCCTAATTCCCAACCAACTACAACGGTATTTCCTGCAGGATGCTCTCTAATAGGGAATCTGCCAGGCGATCAAGGAAAAGAAAGCAAGAGCATCTCGCAGATCTAGAATTCCAGGTTATTATGTATTTACTACTAGTATCAATTTTAAACTTTATAGAAGCACAGTGCTTATCAATTTCTTCTATTCTTTGTAAAGGCTGAACAATTGAGAGGAGAAAATGATTCCCTATTCAAGCAGCTTACAAATGCTGATAAACTATTTCGTGATGCTGGCATTAGCAATCGAGCGCTCAGGTCAGATGTGCTAGCCTTAAGAAACGAGGTAGGGGTTTTGGGATGCATATTTGTAACCTTATAGGCAAAAGAGTAATAATTATTTTTCCATATTATATTAGGTGAAGTTGGCCGAGGGTATACTTTCCGGAGGCTTCTTCGCATGTGGTCTGAATCAACTTGTTCAGAGTCACATGACTTCAGCGCAACCGATTATTACTAATAATCTTGGGCGGGAGGTAAGTGTCTCCCCCACTGTTACCGTTCATGGAGATGGTTCCTCTTATGATGTATTCACGGTTTTTGGGAACTCACCAAACGTTGATTTCAGTCTGAATAATGTTGGAATTGGTGGTGATGCCGTGAGCTGTATTACACAAGCTGTTTGGCCTAATTAAGGATTAATATATATCCCCTGCTTTGTATATTAGATTTAGATCCAGCTAATGCCTTATCTCTTCTACCACTAGTATCCCTCCTTTCTCTTTCTTTTCCTGTGCCTATTTTATAATTACACGTTCTTGCTTCAAGTATTTCTTCTGGATATGCTGATGTACTATTACTACTACTTTAGAATTAATAGATGGATCGGATGATGGTATATAAAATTATGAAGTCGTTCAATCGTGCAAGCAAATAGTTATTAACAAATCAAAACGAGTGTTAATAATGTTTTTCCATTCCTCAACAGTTAACACTGATAATATGTGATTTTAATTAATGAAGGCCATCAGCAGCCTCATTCATCATCAATTCAAACTCAGTAAAATCGACCTTTCCATCCAGATTCAAGTCGACTACCTTCAACATCTTCTCAACCTGAGCCATATCCCACCCATTGTCCAAACCCAAGCATTGCAGCACCCTCTTCAGCTCCAATGCGTCAATAAACCCGTTGCCATCCTCGTCAAAAATTTTGAAGGCCTGTCGTAGCAGCTCATTCCGCGTGGACCCATCTTCTTCCTCCATCCGTAGCACCTCCTCCAAGGGAACTTCCTCTTCCAAACCAGCGGCCAGGTCAAAGCTAGTAGTGAGTTGTTCATCATGACCGACCAAACCAAGCTTCTCAACCACTTGACGCGCCTTCTTCTTGTTTATTCTGCCATTGCTTTGATCCATGCCAAACACAGCAGTGAGAGCCCGGAGCATCAACTCATGATCTCGTGCCTCTGACTTGTAACCCGCTGGCTTAATGGGATCAATGTGAGCTGCTGAAGCTGATAGAATGTATCCGCCTCGCAGCGCGTGCACTAACTCTCTCATTAATCGGGAACATGCTCCGGTTATGCTACTCATCTTGAATTGCTACTAGGAGTAGAAAGTCAAATGCAGGCACTGATTTCTGCTGAAATATTCAATAAATTAATAAGTTAAATTTTATACACAGTGACATTAGTGGTAATCAATGAGTGATGAGAAGTGAAAGAAGAAATGCGCTCTAAACTCCAAAAACCAATTGCTTTCTCGTTGCGCTAACACATCAAAACTAGCATAACCTCTGGTTTGGGTTATTTATACTATATTTGGCATCATAAAAATTAAATATTAGCCATTAATGTAATATGAATATAAAATAAACTTTCAGGAACCTTCACCTACAAACCCTATTTTTTCCACTCAGCAAATAAGAAAGTTGGAAAATTAGGTGATCAAATAAAATACATACAGGTTGTGATCAGGATGAATGGATGATACATGCATGGATTGGATTATTTGTAGAATATATATTATAATTGTGGTTTAGTGTAATGTCAGAGACAGAGTGTTGGGGGGAAAAAACAACTCTGCGATCCAAACTGTTCCGTCCGGTTCGGTGAAGAGTAATGTTCTTCCTTCCTCTCACTCTCTCGGTCTCACAATAAAACCCACTACAAGGATAGGATGAGGACAATACGTTAATTAATCTTAAGTCCCAAAAAGAACAAGTGTTAAATGCTGTACTTTCTCTCAAGTAGTTTTCGGGCTGAGATTCTTAAATTTTAAGAGTTACTTGCACGATAAATCTTATTACAATAACTATACGTTACTTTTTTTAATTGGCGAAATGAACTGTGAAGTTTTTTTTTGTTCCTATAATGTTACAGCACCAGCCACCGCGGCAAGCAGATAATATAGTGGCGGTGGGGAATGGAGATGGATGAGGCATGTAGATTATATTATATAAAACTATATAGATAACCATATCTACAGGTTCATGCATAAGGAAGCCGAGATTGCAACCAACGGATCAACATGCGATGGCAATATATGGCAGATTAGCTGCCTAATTCATTTATATGATGCCTGTTTTAATTATAATAGTATCATCAAACTTGTTTCTTCTTTTCATATAAGCACTTTAACTGCTGCTGCTGTTACCGGGGCTGTTGTTGCCGCAGGAACCAGAAGCTGGACAAACGTGGTTGGGGTGGCATGTCTTGTTTCGACCTTCAGTGTTGCTGCTGAAGTTTCCAGAACAAATTCAAAGTATTGAATTTGCTGATTGCAAAAGCTGAAGCCTTCTACTTTGCTTTGCTACTGAAGATAAATGAAGGATTATTACTTGGTACACTGTCAAACCCTAATAGATAATGACTTAAAACCATATGGGAACAAGTGGAAACAGATGAGGAAAAACTGCAGCATAGAACTTTTAACATTGGATCGAATCCGACCAATCATTTCGATCGGTCAGGGAAGAAGAGATGGCAAATTTAATCAAGTCCGTAGTTATGAATGAAGGGTTTCCCATAAATCTTGTTGAGCAACCATATGCTGGTATATATATATATATTTGCATTTGTAGCATTTCCAAGCAATGTCCTGATGAAATAATGGATGCCAGAAACTGAAAATGGATAACTTAAACTACTATATATCTTCCTCCCAAGGCAAAGATGCTTTTCGATTTGGTCAGTTGAAATATTAATGGTTTTCTATATTTTATTTGAGTGGATACTTGTGAAGAAAATTAAACCCCCATTTTTAACAGGATATTTCAGATCTCAAAGTGTAGGAATCACCGCCTAGTCTTGTTTGGTAGCCTGGAAAGTGGCAACTTTAAAGAAAATTGATTTACATTCTTATATATACACATATTATTAATTGTTGACTCACATGTATTATAAAACAAGGCTTTAATGTTAATTTTTGAAGGAATGAGAGAGAAAAAGTAAGTTTAAACAATGGAAATTGAAATCCAAGACTGAAGGCTGAAACAAGGCAAACTACTCCGATCACGTTTTTTCAAACTTTGTCCTCGCGGCAACAACAGCCCCGTAAACACCGGCTACAGTTAAAGTGTCTATATGAAATGAAGAAAACAAATTTGATGATGGAGAAAGTAAAACAAAAGATGATGAAAATGTATCTGCATAATCAAATGATGCTAGTTCAACTAGTTTTTAACACGTTACATCAGTTTTTTATTATTGCAGTAATAACTGTTGACGATGAATGATCGAGTTGTTATAAATCGATAATTTAATGATTAATTTATTATTTTTAAAATTTTAGTGTGAAAAATAAAAAATTACTTAAATATTAGTGACCATTAATTTACCTTCAAGTTAAAGCTGAGTATTTGGTGTCGTTTTGGTGCATTCATGTTTATAGTAAGAAGAATGTGATGATGATAAGAACGATCACGGGATGTGGTGTATATGGATAATGGCCGTCGGCCCGTGCGTGTAGAAGTTGAAAGTTGGGCCAATCTGTTCAAATTAGTTGGTATATCCAACCAATCCTCGAGATTTTGGACTTTGGAGCAGTTGCCAATGCCAGTTTAACTATTCGTTCCTTGCTTTCTGAGTTTTGGTGGCTTAGATGGCAGCCCAAAACTTATGGCTAGTTATTTTCTCCCACTTTCACCTACCTCTAGATTTCACCAATGTCTCAACCGAGCACTCGTTTCGTCTTCTTGTGGGCATGGAGTTGGATTGGATCAATTTAAGTCCAAGACCCGTACGTCGGTTGTGGAAGTTGAGTGGATGGCGTGGGTACGAGGATAGATGATAGGGATGGATTGGGAGGGGTGTTGAGAGTACGGTCGTATCCTCTACAAATTTTAAATTTTCTTATATTTATGTATTTTTTAATATTTTTATTAATTATTTAATTTTATATATCTAAATTTATAATATAATTTTTTAAGTTCATGCCACCTGAATTCTTACATCCATCTTTGATTGTCAGGGAAAGTGAGTGGTTTACCAGGGGAGTTGAATTCAGGTACGGTATTTTAAGGTAGGGTATTTTAGGCTTTCCGGTATTGGTGGATTAGGTTAAGACAAAATTGATTTCTACATTCTTAATTTTGTAAAATATCAATAAATTGCGAGTTGAGACGTACAAAACCAAAATATGCCCAAATTTTAGGACTGTGGCAGTGCATTTAAGTTCCTAATTATGAATCATAACTCATTGAACTCCCCATAGTATTCCAATCTAATAAACAGATATACTAGTATGCTTAACAAGTAGTGACTAATACTAAAACAAAATGCTTTGTGACATTGGATTTTGCATGATCCTTTAGTACGTAGGCCAATAGTTATCCAAGTCCATGCAATGGTCAATACTCAAGTATCTGTTGCTCGGCACATTTGCATTCTGAGTGGTGATCTCTGCACCATAGCCATTCTCCGCGCCAAAGGTAGTGGTGGTCATCAAAGAGGCCGTAACGTCTTGTTGATGCACCAGTGGCGGAGGTTGCATTGATCGCATCACAGGCTGCGTAGAACCTCCAAGATTCAAATTCAGCCCGGATATAGTAAAACCTCCAGGAATTGGATAGTTGAATTGGGATTGAATAGGTAGATTCGCACTACAACTTGGACCACCCTTTAGAACCCTTGAAAGCTCCGCTCCCATAGACAAGTGATAGTTCTCCGTCTGCATCATTGGTATAACACCAGATCCTCCTCCTATTTCCAAACTGTAGGGATTCACTGCAGCTCTCGAGGCGGAGAGATACTTTTTCATCCCCACACTCTTCTGAAACACGCGACAGACAACCCATTCCTCCTGCTGGAGTTACAAAAGTATATCAATATATATATATATATATATCAAATAGGCGAAGATGAAGATGGGATCAGGGGTACTTTGTTAGTTCTAAAAGATGATTTAGAGTGAATACGATACTCATGCATGACCCAATTGGTTTTTTCTCCTCGAGGTGCTCTCCCTCTGTAAAATACCAAGGTCTTCTTCATCCCAACCAACTCTGATGTGCATCTACTGTTGAAGATCTCCTTGTCTTTTCCCGTGGTCTTCCAGTAACCCGTGTTCGTTGCTCGGTTTGTTCTTACGCCAGTGGGGTATTTTCGATCCCGAAGGCTGAAAAAATACCACTCTTTTTCTCCCATTTTGGCCTTCCCTGATCAGGAACGGAAACATTTCGAAGTTAGGCTTAGATATCTCATATCACAATTCTATGCCAAGCTTAATTATATCTTTGTATTTTTAAAGAATATATACTCACATGTATACGTTACAAGAAATGATAATGCAATTTATCTATTATTTCATGCTTCTTAATACGGAGAACCAGTAGGTAAACCAAAATGGCAATCAACACTGCAACTCTAATTTTGTCGTAAACTTGATATCGTTCTAATTTCTTTCTTTCGTAAAATCTTTTACCCGTGGTTAAAGAAAGAGAATGTCAGTTTTGCATAAAATTAGTTACCATACTGATTGCTGCAGCCTGAAGATAAAACTTTCCGTATTCGAAGAAGGAGCATAAATATAATTAAGTGACTTTGACCTTTTCATAATTTGTTTCAGAAGAGTAAACATGATTCAAAGATGGGAAATGAATGTTGATGCTCTCAAAATCAAGAACCAAAATGGATATATCAGTGATCTGATGGTTGTTTTTGTTATGGAAAAGAAGACACAGGTTAAAACTACCGGGAAGGTCCCAGGGCTCGCATTTGTTGAGATCAACATCAGCAATAGCTCTTCCTGTAAAGTTAGCATCTGAAATCTTGTTTACAAGATAGAAAGTGATGAGCTCTTCATCAGTTGGATGAAACCGAAATCCCGGTGGTAAGTTTTCTTCGTTTCCATTGTCTCCTTCCATTTTTATTTCCTGACTGTTTTCTGCACTACGATTTTGCTCCTACATACATATAACATCGTAAAACAAATTAAAAGTTACGTATAAAATGAAATAGCAGATACATGTAGTACTCTGATAGGCAAAGAAGCAAGCAACCAAGGAGAAGTGAAAAGAGTATGCCGATTGATTTGCTTTCAAAATAACAGAAAAGAAGAAAGCAACTTTTAAAACCTAAGTAGCTTACTTGCAAACAAGATAAACGAAAACAAGAAGAAAGAAGAAATAATCTCTCCTATTAGGTTTTGCAGGCAATTATCATGTATATAATATAAATCATAACGCATAAGCAAGGTTGGTTTTCTTAC